TTCAGCTTCTCCCCCAAGGACACAGAGGGCGTCACGCCACACGTTCCCCTGGCCATCACACCACAGGTTTCGCGAGTTGTCAGTGGACAGGAAGCCTGGTCAAGCATTCTCCCGTTCTCCCTGGGGATCTGCTGAGGGTAGGGGGTGTGACACCCACAGTCCCATGGACGCAAGCCCCAGGAGGGAAGACTGAGGTGTCACCAGCCCTATGAGAACTGTGGGTTTTCTCTCCCTCTATTTTAAAATGCTGGCTTGTGCACCTGCATCCACATACGCCCGATGAGTGTGCGACGCCGCCCTGTGGCACGGTGGCTCTGCAATGCTGTCAGCGCTGCCTGGCCTGCGACCCGCAGCACAGTGTCTCGGGCCCTGAGGGGTGAGGCCACGTGGCGTAGGGCTGGTGTGGAGGCCTTCCTCAAGTCTCTCAATCTCCTCGATAATGTTCTAACCAAGTCTAGAGGGCTGCAGACCACCGAAGATGCTCCCGGCTTCAGTGGGGGAGGGCGGGAGAGATGGCAGGTTAAAATGCGTCATGCCTGACCAAAGCCACTGGGATGTGCTTTGACTATGGCAGCAATTTGTTATTATCAGTCTGTAACTATAAGAAATTAGAAAAAGGTGTATCTTTACTTCCTTTCACAAGTTATGTCTATCTGTAATTAATAACACTAACTTTTAAAAATATACCTACGTAGGAGGGCATGGTGGCTAGAACCCAGTGTTATCTAATCTCGTAAATATAAATTTAAATTATTCTTTAATTATAGGAAAGTTTTTTTAAATATGTATCATGTTATAATTAAAGGACCTTCAAATTGTAGTATTCTAAGATAAGTATAATCTGCAAAGATGGCTGTAATTACAGTCACAGCGAGTACATTTCCACCCAGGATGTATCATAACCTAAAAACACAATGTTTTTAGGTTATGATTATTTCTTAGATTCACTAACATAATGTATAATTATATTTGTGAAACAACAACTGTGGAAGAAATGACTCCATGTCCCAGCTCGGAGCACTGGTTTTAGGGTACACTCATCCTTTCGGGTTGGGCTTCCCCTCAGCCATTGTTAAGAGTCACGGCCAATGCCTCATGGTCCAGCCAGTCCAGCTCCCACACGGACTTGATGCCATCCTCGCTTCCCCTCTGCTGTCAACAGCCTCTCTGGGCCATCCTGATCTCTAATGGCCCCTAATACGTCACCCCGACCGCATATAGACCAGCTTGCCCAGAGCAGCCCCAAATCACGTTCGAAATGCGAATAATATCACTTCTTGTCGAGAGCTCCCGTTTCTTTCACGAAAAGTCCAATGTCCTTAACATGGCCCACCCCGCGAGGCGCGCGTGGGTCACCCCTCCGCCTGACGCCGCGTGCTCCTTGGGCCGCGCTCTCCCCTCTGCCCTCCGCTCCGCGGCGCAGGGCCTTCTCCGGGGTCCGGCTGCGCCCCGCAGGCCTCTCTGAGCCTCGTCCTCGGTCAGGCAAGGCCTGGGTCAGGCAAGGCCTGGGTCAGGCAAGGCCCTCCTGGAACTCTCTCCGGACGCGTTTCCTTGAGCTCCGAAGTTCCTTACACGCCTCCTTCAAACACTCGTCCCGGTACTAACTTTGTCTTTATTTCTCTAGTTCTCTGAGTGATGTCAGTCTCCCCCACTGGTGAGGAAGCCCCCCGAGTGTTTCTGCTCGGCCCTGCACCTTCTCACCAGCACACCTGCCTGGAAGACGGGCACTCAGACATCTGAGATGAATGAGGCACAGAGATCATCTTGACCTGAGTTGGCTCAGCCTCCTCAACCATCATGCCCTTAAACGGCCTAGCACCATAACACTGGCAAATTCCAGGACCGCCAGGCCGCCCAAAGGAGAGAGGAGGTGCCGTAAACGGGCTTTCCAGATAAAATTCCTGAGCAAAGAGCTGTTCGTGAGTTTTTCCATAAAATCTAAGCCATCTCGGTCTTGAGAATTGTTTTTCCACCGCCCGTTTCCAGCTCTTGGTTGTATTCATGCTGGAGAATTCTGATGAACAAAAGCCAGGAGCCCTTTACTCCCCGAGGGGAAATCATGAGATTATTCTTTTCACAGAAAATACTCTTGGATACAAGTAATGGGTATGGTGTCATGGGCTAAAGTAGGGCTCTTAAAAGAGAAAAATTTGATAAAAAAAAAAAAAAATTAAGTAGGGAGAGTTTACAAAGCTTTCTGTGATGAAATGACGATCCCACATCTACCCAACATTTACATTTTATTTTCTCTAATCTTCCCATAATGTCCAAGGTAGGAATTAATATGCACTTTGGACAGAGGGCAAATCAGACTGAGAAAGGGCAAAGTGGCTTGCACAGGGCCACCGCGCCAGGACAGGGCACAGCCAGACTCCAAGCCCAGGCCTTCCTTGTTCAGAAGCCCCACGTTCTCTGCAGCTTCATGCTCACAGCAAACATAAACCCTGGGAACAAAGGACCTAAAAACATGCTACATGGTAACAGCCCAATCGAAAAGCCAGCCGAGTGCGATTAGCACTATCTGGAACCTCCAGCTTCTTCCTGCGCACACTGCAGCCCACACCAGAGCCTCGCGGCTGAACAAGGCAGCTGCCGTTCTCAGGCTAAGGGGTTTCCAAGGACAAACCCAGGACACACTGGGCCAGCACTGCTGTCAGAAAAACAACCAATGTCACTTCTTTTCCTGAGACAGATGTATGAGGAAGCTGTCAGAATCCCACAAAATGACTTCCATCTGCCCCCGACACACAAATACTGTATTTCACTCTAAGATGCCCATTTTTCATAGGTTTACACCTCGCAAATCAAGATGCGTCCTACAATCAATGGTGTGTCATCATCGTTTAATCAGAAAGTTTTTTTCTTTTTTCGTGGTTCAGAAAATAACGGTCTGTCTTACAACCGATGGTATCTTAGAGTCCATGAAATGTGGGATATAAATACTGAAATACAGGATATAAATTCAGAAAGGGGCTTGCAAGGTGAAGCTGGAGATCAGAATTTGAATTTCTTTTTCCAACTAAAAGGCGGCCTTCCTTATCCCTATATAAATCCTGTTCTACTCTTAATACCCTGCAGTAGTTTTTGATTGGTTCCCCAAAGTGAAAACAACCA